GCTTCGGCAGAAGATAACACGAGCCTGCAGCAGTGTGTTGAGGTCATTCTTAGCCGTCTCCCGGTCTTGGCCGGTCACTTGCGCAAATACTAGCTGATTCGCGTTGCTTTCTGTTAACAGTCACAATACCTGCCTAAACCACCGAATGGTGACTTCTCAATCAGGAGCAACATGGTTGTAGGTCGAAGCCCTTTCAGATATAACTGGCCATACCAGTTCACCGGTCGATCTCATCTCAATTTAACATCATCGGCAACATACGACCTCGAGGTAGGTAAACTTCAACTGTTCCACTGATTCTGCGTTTACCTCAAGAGCAAAACGAGCAGGAAAACGAGAAAGCACCAGGTTTTTCGCTTCCGAGAGATTCACACGCATGGCGGCCACGTTGCACTAGCTGCGAACCTTTCCACGAAACACAGTAGATCAGTTTCAGAATATGCCAACAAAACCAGGTCGTCTGCAAACAGTAACCCGCTCGTCTCCGCGTCTCCTACACCGACACATCGCCTTGACTGCTTCTGACTAATACGTCCAAGTACAGCACAAACAGGAAAGTGAACAGAACGTAGCCTTGGCGGAGGCAAGTGCCAACGCTGAAAGGCTTCGACTTAACGTCATTTACTCTGTCGCAACAACTGCTCTCCGCATATATTGATTGAATGACCCGTAGCAACTAGCCTTCGATTCTATATGTCCGTAGGCATAGCCATAGACCCTTGGGCGGGATACGGTCATAGGCTTTCTCTAGGTTTATAAGGCACATATAAATCGAATAACAATCGGGCGTAAGGCGAAGATCTGGTCAGACGTGCTTCGAACACACAGAAGCTACATAGCCATTCTCCGATTCTAGAGTCAACCAATCTGCGGCACCTCCATTCCAACGCCTTTGCATTTGTCTCGAAAGGAACAACAAGGTAATGTTCAGATAACTAAAGCATTCCCTACAGTCTCCATTTTGGATGTCCACTTATGTCCTTCGCGTAGCCACTGCAGTATGACAGATACATGTTAGCCACGTGATAAATTTTTTTGTTTAAAGCCTTAAGCACTTCAGGGCGAATTTCACTGCTTCCAGGAAATCTGTCACTAATCAACATTTCTACAGTTTCCGTGACTTCATCCACCGAAAGCTTAACATCCGTTGCCTGTCAGATGGAGTCTTCGTGCGGCTGTTTGCCGCTAAGGGATTCTTCAAATTACTCTCATTGTCGTAAACATATGCTCTCTTACTCAGTAGGAGATAGGACTACACCTCTTAGAATTTGGAGGAGGTCGCTCGTCTGTCGAAACACCTTGTTTGCCGTCTGGGAAT